ATTCCCCAAAATGGCCGTAGAATTTCGATTATCTCGAGAACTACAATAGTCAAAGCCTCAAATCAGAATTCATAATGAAGCTAGGAAAATCTCCAACCCCACCCACCCTTTATGAACCCGTTTTGCCAGAGAATTCCCCCAAAAACCCCACAAAATCACATTTCTGTCCAGGGTTCGGTTTCACTGATTATCTCGATAAAGAATGCCCCGACACATCACCAGCTTCTTTCTGGATCAGGAACTCCCGTATGGACTCCCTGACATGATCAACCCCCACCCCTTGCCCCCAGAATTAAAAAAATAATGGCAAGAAGTTTAGTTCGATTCCCCAAAATTTCCATAGAATTTAGATCCTCCCAAGAACTTCAATAGTGAGAACGTCAAATCAGAATTCATAATGAAGCCAGGAAAATTTCTAATCCCACCCACCCTTTATGAACCCGTTTTGCTGCAGGATTACCTCAAAAACCCCACGACATCACATTTCTGTCCAAGATTCGGTTTCACTGATTATCTCGAGATCGAATGCTCCAAGAGACATCACCAGCTTCTTTTTGGATCAGAAACTCCCCTATGGACTCCCTGACATGACCCACTCCTAACCAATTGCCAACCGCACATACAGTTTCGAAAAATGTCATGACATTATATTCAATCGTTTTTATTCCTGCATTATTTCTAAATGTTATTTTTTTTCATCATCATTTTTTGTCATTTTTTTTAGACTGGACGTTGGCGAGTATTCATCTCAGCCACAATTGTTGTGGTTTGTTGTCAATCTCTTTTCCTCCGTTCCGTATTTTAATGATTTTTTCCTTTTGAATAGCCATCTGGGTATTGATGTCTATGATGTGTCCATCTATCTCTTCCAGCTTCCCTGTTTGCCTAAAAGAAACAGAAGATAAGAAACGTCAATTACTCTCATGACATATTCAATCGTTAGTGGATTCCTGAAAACGTTTTCAACAACAAAATAACATAGAAACAACAAGGATTAACCAGGGCCAGGCAAAAATTCGCTCAGAATCGCTTTGTGCAGATGGGCCCATTCTAAATACAAAAAAAATCAACCCATAGAACTCTGTCCTCGCGTCACGTATGACAAAATTTAATAGAAAAACTTAGCGATTTCGTTAGACAATTCTATTGGTTTTTCGTAAAAATTCCATTACTTTTTGCCCGTTTCTATTAAAATGTTCAAGAGAAAATATTGGATAGAAAAATTTAATAGAATTCGATTTTTCTACACAACTTATTCTATTGAAATATTTTTTATTGAATTTTCTCGAATTTTCTTAATTGAAGTTTTTTCATTCAATTTTTCTTTTCTCCCTTTCAAGAAAATCAAATAATAAAACTTAGAAAATTTGAGCCGAACAAATTCCATGGAAAATATTTCAATAGAATAAGTTGTATAGAAAAATCGAATAATATTGACTTTCTATAGAATATTTTCAACTGAACATTTCAATAGATACAGATAAGAATTAATAGAAAATTCTATAGAAATACAATAGAATTGTCTAGCGAATGCGCTAGGTCCGTGATTAACCAGAGGACGTGGTCAGGACAAAATTAGGACGAAAAGTCCGGACGTCTGGAAGACGTCCTAATGTTGCATTTCGGGTCAACTGGGGACAATTACAAGACGTTCTTACAGGACTCATACCGTGTCTCGAAGATGATTTGCAGACGCGTTGCAGATGTCCATCAGACGTCCATTCTGCATCTTCAAAGGTCGGGTCTTCTCTCCCCATCCCTAAGACATCCGGGAGACATCCATATTTCATCTTCAAGGACAATTACTGGGGGGTCATGAGCAAACACGGGAGTTCTGTAAGACGTCCTTTCCATGTCTGCCGGGCGTCCTTAGGACTGAACCCAGAGTTTCATATGTGACGTGAGGACATTCGGGATAGGTTAGCGAGCTATCCCCAGGACTTTCGGCAGAGATCCATATTTCGCCCTTGAGGACAATTATTGAGATTCATAGATGGAGAGCCGATGTCTGCAAGACGTCCGCTCCACATCCAGCAGACGTCCGTACCTCGTCCCCAGCACTTAGTACTAAATTTCATAGTCGACGTGAGGACATCCGGGATATGTTCCCGAGTTGTCCCTAGCACGTCCGGCAGACATCCATATTTCATCCTGGAGAACAATTATCGGGATTCATGGATGGAGAGCGGCAAGACGTCCGCTCCACATCCAGCAGACGTCCGTACCTCGTCCCCAGGACTTAATACAACGTTTCATAGTCGACGTGAGGCCATCCGGGATATGTTCGCCAGTTGTCCCTAGGACGTTCGGCAGAGATCCATATTTCATCCTTGCGGACAATTATTGAGATTCATAGATGGAGAACGGATGTCTGCAAGACGTCCGCTCCACATCCAGCAGACGTCCGTACCTCGTCCCCAGGACTTAATACATAGTTTCATAGTGGACGTGAGGATATCCGGGATATGTTTGCCAGTTGTCCCTAGGACGCCCGGCAGACATCCATATTTCATCCTTGAGGACAATTATTGGGATTCATGGATCGAGAGCGGCAAGATGTCCGCTCCGCATCCAGCACACGTCTGTACCTCGTCCCCAGGACTTAATACTAAATTTCATAGTCGATGTGAGGACATCCGGGATATGTTCGCCAGTTGTCCCTAGGATGTCTGGCAGACATCCATATTTCATCCTTGAGGACAATTATTGGGATTCATGGATCGAGAGCGGCAAGACGTCCGCTCCACATCCAGCAGACGTCCGTACCTCGTCCCCAGGACTTAATACTAAATTTCATAGTCGACGTGAGGACATCCGGGATATGTTCGCCAGTTGTCCCTAGGACGTCCGGCAGACATCCATATTTCATCCTTGAGGACAATTATTGGGATTCATGGATGGAGAGCGGATGTCTGCAAGACGTCCGCTCCACATCCAGCAGACGTCCGTACCTCGTCCCCAGGACTTAATACTAAATTTCATAGTCGACGTGAGGACATCCGGGATATGTTCGCCAGTTGTCCCTAGGACGTCCGGCAGACATCCAGATTTCATCCTTGAGGACAATTATTGGGATTCATGGATGGAGAGCGGATGTCTGCAAGACGTCCGTTCCACATCCAGCAGATGTCCGAACGTCGTCCCCAGGACTTAATAGTAAATTTCATAGTCGACGTGAGGACATCCGGGATATGTTCGCCAGTTGTCCCTAGGACGTCCGGCAGACATCCATATTTCATCCTTGAGGACAATTATTGAGATTCATAGATGGAGAGCGGATGTCTGCAAGACGTCCGCTCCACATCCAGCAGACGTCCGTACCTCGTCCCCAGGACTTAATACATAGTTTCATAGTGGACGTGAGGATATCCGGGATATGTTTGCCAGTTGTCCCTAGGACGCCCGGCAGACATCCATATTTCATCCTTGAGGACAATTATTGGGATTCATGGATCGAGAGCGGCAAGACGTCCGCTCCGCATCCAGCACACGTCTGTACCTCGTCCCCAGGACTTAATACTAAATTTCATAGTCGATGTGAGGACATCCGGGATATGTTCGCCAGTTGTCCCTAGGATGTCTGGCAGACATCCATATTTCATCCTTGGGGACAATTATTGGAATTCATGGATGGAGAGCGGCAAGACGTCCGCTCCACATCCAGCAGACGTCCGTACCTCGTCCCCAGGACTTAATACAAAGTTTCATAGTCGACTTGAGGACATCCGGGATATGTTCGCCAGTTGTCCCTAGGACGTCCGGCAGACATCCATATTTCATCCTTGCGGACAATTATTGGGATTCATGGATGGAGAGCGGATGTTTGCAAGACGTCCGCTCCACATCCAGCAGACGTCCGTACCTCGTCCCCAGGACGTAATACTAAATTTCATAGTCGACGTGAGGACATCCGGGATTTGTTCGCGAGTTGTCCCTAGGACGTCCGGCAGACATCCATATTTCATCCTTGAGGACAATTATTGGGATTCATGGATGGAGAGCGGATGTCTGCAAGACGTCCGCTCCACATCCAGCAGACGTCCGAACCTCGTCCCCAGGACTTAATACTAAATTTCATAGTCGACGTGAGGACATCCGGTATATGTTCGCCAGTTGTCCCTAGAACGTCCGGCAGACATCCAGATTTCATCCTTGAGGACAATTATTGGGATTCATGGATCGAGAGCAGCAAGACGTCCGCTCCACATCCAGCAGACGTCCGAACCTCGTCCCCAGGACTTAATACTAAATTTCATAGTCGACGTGAGGACATCCGGTATATGTTCGCCAGTTGTCCCTAGAACGTCCGGCAGACATCCAGATTTCATCCTTGAGGACAATTATTGGGATTCATGGATGGAGAGCGGATGTCTGCAAGACGTCCGTTCCACATCCAGCAGATGTCCGAACGTCGTCCCCAGGACTTAATAGTAAATTTCATAGTCGACGTGAGGACATCCGGGATATGTTCGCCAGTTGTCCCTAGGACGTCCGGCAGACATCCATATTTCATCCTGGAGGAGAATTATGGGGATTCATGGATGGAGAGCAGATATCTGCAAGACGGCCACTTCATATCCAGCAGACGTCCGTACCTCCTCCTCAGGACTTAATACAAAGTCCCTTACTTGACGTGAGGACATCCGGGATATGTTCGCGAGCTGTCCCTAGGACGTCCGGCACAGATCCATATTTCGTTCCACGTTCCTTGGACCGAATTTAAACCGAATGGTACCTCAATTAAGAATATATAAAATTGAATTAAGCTTACCTTTAAATGAAGAAATGGAAATATAGCGGAAATTGTTACATGTGCAGAAAATATATTTTGAACAGCTGAAAGATATGAAATACACTTACATTTGTTTTGTTTGCGTTTAAATGAATATCAAATTAACTTCAATAAAAAATATTAAATGTCAATAAGAAAATTAGCGGTCAATATGAATAAGAGAACTTTTATGTTTATGAAAATGATACGCATGGCTAGGAGATCCCTCCTATTCTCCTTCATCAACTTTTCCGTCAACCTCATCTTCTTCTTCTCCGCCTTTCTTATCATCATCATCATCTTCCTGAGTGCCTTCCGGTTCATCCACTTCTTCTTGGTTAGCTTGTTCTTCATCTTTTTTCCCATCTTCTTTTTCAGACTCTTCGTCCTCCTTGTCTTCATCATGATCGCCCTCATTACCTTCCTTCTCGACTTCGTAATTTTCCCCATTAACACCACTCGCTTCTTCGGCTTCGGAAAGTGAATCAACCAAAAATTCTTCATTGTCTCCATTGAATCCCTGTCCAGCTATTTGAATGACTGCGGATGAAGTGTGATCATTTCTGCCTCCACTGTTTTCCCCCAATTTTGCTGCATTCATACCCCCCTCTTGTTTGTCCTTGCTTCCCTTACCCAATGGAATTTTCTTTGATTCATTTGATATGTCCTTGACATTAGAAGCTCTCCCAACGGCAGGGGTTCCTTTCGGATCCTTAGAGGCAGACTTCTTCGTAACAATAATCGAGGCAGCGGTAGAGCTGGACTGATCACTAGCTTTCTCAGTTCTGATTTTCTTCGGTGATGGCTCCACGTCTACCTCCCCATCAGTGGTATCGTCACCACCTCCACCAGATTTCAAAAGTCTTCGTTTTCGTAGATTTTCGGGTTCAGTCAGGTAGGGGGGAATGGGCTGCCCAGGTGCCTCCAATAATTGCCGTTGAGCAGTCCTTGCTGCATTGGTGATACGTCGCAGTTTATCTCGAATATTTTCCTCAGTCACGGTATACTGTTTCTCCTTTTGCCACTTCATCGAATTTACTAAACCTACTATATAACAATTTAAAAAAATGTGGATAAAGACAAGTTAATATGTCAATTCAGCAGGATTCATTAGGAACTGAAGTTTCGACCCCCTTTTCATCGCTTCAAGATGGATTTTGGTAATCTTCTTGGGGGCAATTCCAGACAATGACCATTCGTAGATTCTTCCAGGCCAAAACAGATTACACATTTCCCACAGTTTTTTCTGTAAACCTGTGACTTCGCCCAGCTCCTTCATCTTGTCTTTCGAAACTGTAATGCCTAGTCCACAATATATCTGAAATTTATTTGCAGCGAATCAATCCTGTATCTTTGCGAATTTCTGTTTTCTATGAATAAAATGCATAGTCATACTGGGCAAAAATGTAATTATTGTTGTTTTCACTATTATTAATTTGAAATATGATTCAATTAACGAAGTTCAAAAAGCACATTGGTAGAATTGATTAGAGGATGAGTATTTGGGTATTTTTCATGTATGTGGTTTCATTTTTATGTTGGAATTTAAGAGTGCTAAAAATCTTTCTCATAGACATTTTTCTAGTGCCAAATGCGAAGTTATTCCAGAAGCTCTCATCGTTGCCATTGCCCTTCAATTTCGCGATATTCTGCCAAAACCTACCCCTGCCTGGGATTCATCTCACCCACCTATATAATCTATCTTGTTTCACTACTTCATTAATTGTTAAAAATCTAAAAAGGAGTTACCTCATCGGTTTGTAGTTCTGGCATTGATTCATGAGCCGGTAGTACCTTTATAGCCCATGACATTTCATCAATAGCACAGGGGTTAGACGGGATAGCGTCACCAAAAGATTCTATCAGGATAATGATAAATTAAATCGATATTTTCATGGCTTTTATATTAACAAAGCTATTGTTAACTTACTACAATCGATTTTATCAATCACTACTTTCACATCTTTGGCGATGTCTTGCAGTAGTCCCCGCAATGATTTCTGATCAGCAGACTCGTTCTTCTGTTGGAGAAGAAGCTTATTTGCTGCAAGCAGTTTATCGTTTCTGACTCTGTAACCCGCAAGTTCCCTTGCCATCAACTCATTTCCATTTCTGAGTGTTATACAAGAAATACAATCTTGCTGAACCTCTGCCACCTTTGTTGTCTGTGGACAAATGTCATATAAACGTGTTACTTGGTAATTAAATGAGGAGGAACAATAAATTTTTTCACAAATACGTTATAAAGGGAAAAATGAGAAGATAAATTCTATGGGGAGGAAGTTCAAAATATTTATAGAAAAAGGGAGTTTATTAATTTTCTATAGGTTATTCAAATACAGAGAAACTCTCCTGTTTGTCTCGGTATTTTTAAATCCTGTCCAAGTACCGGGACAAATCCAGGACTGGATTTTTCAAGTACATCGGGCTTGGTCCGATTTTTTCTCTAAAATGGGAATTGCCCAAGTATCGATGTCTCGGTTTTGTCCCTGAACTCGAAAATGATTTGAAACTTTCCGAGATTATGAATTTATTTCCGACCTGAGGACGAATCTAAGACTAGAGTGCATCATGGTCTATGTCAGTTTTGTTTCCGAGCAAAAAAAACACAAAATTAAGTTCTTAATATTAATAGAAACAAAAAAAGAAGGAAAGCAGGATTTTATGAATTTTGCACGAGTTACTCAAATCCAGGAAAACTCGAGTTGATGTTTTTCTTTTCAATTCCTACTTGAGTCTTGAATCTATTTCTTTCGGAAAGAACATTGAGTCCTTGATTGGTCTTCACATTTTCTACAGAATGAAAATACACCTATCGAGACACACTCGAGAGCTGTAATTTGATAACGTGTAAAAAATCAATAAACTAACTTCTCTGCTGGGTTTACCACCTCTACTGGGTTCCCACTTTGTCGTAGTGAGGGGGCTCGGTCGCGGGCGGTGGAGGTCTTAAGGACTACCGCTGCCCGCGGTCGCTAAGAGGAGCCCACCCAATCCATTTGCGTGAGCGGCGTAAGCCATGGCCTCGGCCATACCGTGCCTAAGGATGCTTGGCACAGGGGGAGCTGTGTCGCTAACGGTGCCTCTCAGAAACCTGGGCGACCTCTGAGAGTAGTCTTGGGTGTAACCCACCCGAGACAAGCCAAGCCCTGGGCAATCGCGGCAATGCACCAGGTGAAAACGCTTAACCGCGGTACTCGTGGGACTAAAATGGGAACCAATCTAAAAAATCTTGATATTGAAAAAGCAACTTCGGGTGGGGCCAGCGATGGCGAACACACGAAGTCTGACAAGGCTGACCAGTCTGGTACCGATGTGAATCGGGTCAGACTGAGTGGAGCCGAGAGAAGCCGCCGCAAGAGAGCGAAGCTGCATCAAACCTCGGGGGCGATTGCAACCTTGACGGATGCAGCAGCGAAGGTCGATGAGGGAAGGGGGGAGGGGGCTACGAGGAAGGCAATAAAACGCCTTCCATCAGAGCGTACTACGCCAAGCCCCTCAGTCAGACCGAAAGAAAAGAGAATGAGAACGCAGGATCAGGGCACATATGCTCAGAACACTACGAGCTCATTCAAGTTTGCAGTTATGCCGGAGTCATATCCGGATCAGAAACTGGGCACTGAAGAGGTAACGCAGGTGAAGAAACTCCTGAAGGGGGCCATTCTGGCGTTACCTGACGGGGTGAAAGCACCCACCTTCAACGGTGTCTGGGAAAGAGAAGGTGTGGCAATGGTGTGCTGCACTGATGAGGAAACGGGAAATTGGCTGAAAAGCCTTTTCCCCGAAAACAAAATAGCTGGACTTACTGTACGTGTGGTCGCAGCCTCGGAGCTTCCCAAGAAGCACAGGGTTGTACTACACGTGGAAGACCCAGATCTAACCGCTCAAGAAGCACTGTGCTTCCTTGAGAAACAAAATGCAGGACTGCAGGCCAGAGAGTGGGTTGTCGCTCGGGGCAGTGAGAGTAGGGACGCGAAAAGTGCCCACTTCGTTGCGCTGATAGACGACCGATCACTCTCTGTTCTGAAAGCCTGCAACTTCAGACTGCACTGCGGGATTCAAAAAGCTACTGTCAAGCTGCTTGCGAAAGACCGTGGTGAAAGTCAGAAGAAGGGTACATAGAGGTACCAGGAAAGTAGTCATCATTATGGCTGCAACCCGGGTGCACATTGTACAGATAAATTTGCATCACAGCAAAGCAGCCTCGGCTACTCTAGTCACGCTGTTAGCTGGGATGCAGACTGTCATACCAATGATCCAGGAACCATGGATAGTGGACAATGCTATTAAGGGCCTCAGTGGTTGTCGCAGAATCTATCACGCAAACACTCAGGAGAAAATTAGATCTTGCATTGTTATTAAAGGACTAGACTCGTTCTTCTGTTCACAGGCTAGTGAGGGAGACCTGGCTGTGGCACAAGTGGATCTGGGCCTGGGACAAAGCGAGGAAATGAGCTTGGTTGTAGGGTCAGTTTGCATGCCCTATGACTCGGCTGGACCACCTCTTTCGAAAAAAGTAAGGGANCCTGGAGAGGCTGGTGGATAGACACATCAAGGCCGGGCCCTTGGCTGACAGACCCCTCTCCCCCTGTCAATATGCATACAGGGAGGGCAGATCAACAGATATCGCCTTACATCACCTCGTGGGACTGAANGGGGCCGGTCTAAATATCCTTAATAGGGGGTCAGAACCTACCTTCATAGATCGGAGACGACAGGAGGTCATAGATATCACTCTGGGGACGGATAGAGTGGCAGACATGATTGGAGACTGGAGGGTCTCAAAGGAACTCTCAACGTCCGATCATCAAACCAGAAGAATGTCCATCCACACAGTAAAAGAAACGGAATGGGTGAGAAACCCAAGATGAAGNATAGAGTGGCAGACATGATTGGAGACTGGAGGGTCTCAAAGGAACTCTCAACGTCCGATCATCAAACCAGNTAAATCAACTAAGTGAGGCCGGCTTCCACGTCATCGGTTTCGCCGATGATGTGGCAGTTGTTGTGAAAGGCGGATTTCTGAGGGTGCTAAGGGACCTGACGGCAACAACCTTCAATATCATTGAGGACTGGTGCAGGGAAACTGGCCTATCGGTAAATCGGGCCAAGACAACGGTCCTGGTTTTCACCAAAAATTATAAACTGGAAAAGACCCAACCTCTGAAGCTAAATGGCTCGGAGATAAACTACACCAGC